AATGGATGGAGGACATGCCAGGCAAATGTAAACAAAAGGAAAGCAAGAAGGGGCATGTTAGCATCAATTAGGATGGAACTCAAGATTGAAATTATCAAATAAGAAAAAGGGATCTATTTCAGGGATAAAGAGTATAGTTCATGGGTCCAGGGATATAGCTCAGTGGCATAAGCACCTGCGTGGCGAATGTAAGGTCCTGAGTTCGATTCCTGGTACCAAAAAAAAAGAGTATAGCTCACAAAGTAACTGTTATAGGTTCTCCTTTATTCACTTACCAATATACTTGTGGAATATTGAAAACAAAAAATAGAAGTATAGAAGAACATGATAAGACTATAACTAATATTAGGAGATTTTGATATATTTCTGGTATAATTTGACAGAGTAGATGAATAGTGATATAGGTTAGTATTGTTGTAGGGCATTTGTATCTTATATACAAAAAATGTATATTTTTCTCTTATATCTATGGAGCATTTACCAAAAAATCTGTTGTTATGGCCTTAGGAAATATTTAATGAATTTGGGAGGAGGATGAAGGTGGTATATTACTCACCTCACTTTTTATTCTAGTGGTTTAAAAAATTGATGATGAAAGAATAATAAATGAAATGAAAATGCTTGAAATTAAGAAAGCCTCTTGTGGATGATTTCTAGATCAAGTTGAAAATCAAGTAAAAAATGACAAGTTACCTGGAAATTAAACAGAACACATTACATCAAAACTTGTTGGGAAATCATTAAGGTATTCAGGATTGCTTTATACCCTAAATGCTTTTGGTATGTAATTTTTAAAGAATGAAAAGGAAGGATTACATCTAAGAAAGTTTTATACTCTTCCAAAAGAAAGAATTAGTAACAATCAAAGATAAAAGTATCAAAACTGATGACAAAAAATAAGGAGAAACTAGACTAATAAAAGATATACATAGTATATAATATTAAGAATACACACGTTAAGAGTAAAGAAAAAACGGGGCTGGGGATTTAGCTCAGCGGCAAAGCGCCTGCCTGGCAAGCGCAAGGTCGTGAGTTCAGTTCCCGGTACCGGAGGAAAAAAAAAAAAAAAAAGAAAGAAAAGAAAAAACATTACTCAGAGCTTTAAAGTGACTACAAGAATTCAGTAATACAATACTGTGTGAAACTTTATGGCAATCAATTTAGAAATCTAAAGGAAATTAGTGGATTTCTAATAAACTATACATTACCAAAATTTGATCCAAAGTTAACTGATTCAAAAGATGAAAATTATAGGGCAAAAACTAAGTGCATATAAAGAGAGAAAGCCTTCCGATTTTATGAAAAGTATCAACTCGTTAATACTAAAACCTGATGAAGATGGGACCACAACAATCATCCCAAATCACTCACTTCATCCTTTTTTAAAAGTTAGCAAATTAAATCAAAATGAAGCTTTATTCCATAAATAGAAGAATGATTCTTGCATTATAAAATCTATCAACATTATTCATTGGTACAGCAGAATGGAAGAGAACAATTGCATTATTATTAATTCAACTGACACTGAACACATTTGATAAAATTTAGTAGGTATTCCTAATAAAAACGAAAAGTAATTTAAGAATAGCAGTAAGAACCCACCATATTTGTAAACCAACAAAAGCATCATGGTAGATGGTGACTACTAAAGTATTGTGTTGTAAATGCCTGATGCCACTGTTACTCAACTGCTGTCACTGAACTTCCTTTTAGAAGTTGAGTGAATGTGATAAGAAAAGTTGAACTAAACTGTGTAAACATAGCAGGTGATGTGACTAAGACTCTACTAAAATTTTTCAGAATTATACACAAGGATATGGTAAAATGACTGGATGACAGATAATAGATAAAAGCCAATCATTCTTCTTTATATGAATTAATAATGGCTAAAAATACAGATGGAGAAATCTCTATTTTAAGAAATGAAGAACAAAGAATATCTGCAGGTGAATTTAGTAAGACATGAGACAAATGTAAAGCAAAAAACCTAAATGGTAGTCAAAGACTGAAAAAGTGGAGAGCTGTACCATCTTTTTGGTACAGAAAAGGTAACAATTGTTTCCAAATTGATATATTCATTTTTGTAAAATCCCAGTCAAAATCCCAACTCAGAGGATGAAGGTCTTGTCAGATCAATCAACATGATTGAAAAGCCCGTATAAATATGTAAATGCAAGAAAATTGCCAAACTTGAAAGAACAGTAGCATGGGGAACTTGCACCCACAGATATCTGCTTTTATTTATTTTCCGTTAGTACATGTTTGCAGTATATAATATTTATATTCCTTGTGTAGAGTTGGTGCATGTGCATAACACATCTTAATTCCTCTTTTATCCCCTTGTCCCTCCTTCCATCTCTTGATGCTCTTCTTATTTGAGAAAGAGCTATCGCTGTACTTCTCATATCTATCTTTTATTTTTCTCTTTATTCCTATTTTTAGTTTATCATATAAGAGACACCATGCAATAATTAAAGATGTGTGTCTCCTTTACTTCACTAACATTATTGTCTCTGGATGCATCCATTTTCCAACAAATGACCCAAGTTTTGTTTCTCTTTATGACAGAGTAAGTACTCCAATTGTATAAAGACCACATTTTCTTTATCTATTCAGCTGTTGATGGACACGTAGGCCACTTGCAAGGTTGAGCTATTGAGAATTGTGCTGCTATAAACATGGGTATGCATTTATCGCTGTCATATGATGTCTTTAACCCATCCAAGGAGAAGCAGAGAGTAGCTGGGTCAAATGGAATTTCTACTTTCAATTTTTTGAGCAATCTCTGTACTGATTTCCACAGTGTTTATATTAGTTTCCATTCCCACCAACAATGTAGAAGAGTTTCTTTTTCTCTACAGCCTTGCCAGCCTTTGCTATTATTTTATTTCTTGATGATGGCCATTCTTTCTAGGGTAAGATGGAAATCACAGTGTTGTTTTAATTTGCATTTCACTACTAACCACTGGTGTTGAACATTTCTTCGTGTATTTATTAGTCATTTCTATTTCTTCTGTGAAGTGTCTGTTTATTCCACTTGCCCATTTTTTGATTGGGTCTTTTATTTTGGGGAGTTTAATTTTTTCAAGTCTTTTTATATATTCTAGATATTTTTAAAGCAATATATTAGCTCAGGAATCTGCAAGTTTTTGGAACAGAGTAGAATCCATAAATAGATTGAAGTATATAGGAAAACTCAAAGTAAAAAAGACAGGCTAAAAGTGGCCTGTCTTTGTAGTAAGGAAAAGATAGATTACAAAATAAATTATGTTGGTGAAATTATCAGATGATAATTGCATTTAGATTAAATTCCATTTGGAGTACAGATTTAATGTTAAAAAATGGAACCATAAGAGCATCAAAAGAAAATGTAGGAGAGTACATATATGACATTAGGTTAGAAGGAGGTCTCTTCCATAATCCAAAGAGGAAAAAATTGCAAGATAGTAAATCCATAGCTCATAAGGGAAAATTTGGCAGATTTGATTATGTAAAACTTTAAAACATCTATATGAGAAGAACCCATGAATAAAGCCAAAAAAAAAAATTGCTTGCAATTCCTACAACAGTTAATGTTTAATATACTAAAAGATTTTACAACTGATCATAAAAAAGATAAACAGCTCAGTATAAAAATAGGCAAAGGACATGAATGGAAAATGCAAATCATCAATAATCCTGTGGAAAGGATAAGATTCATTAATAGCAAGAGAACATGAATTAAAACATCTTAGATGCTGTGATTTGCCAGTCGGGGTGAAAACAATAAAGATGGCAGCGTCCAGTACTGATGAGTATGTCGGTAACGAGTATGTGTCATGCACAGCTGGATGGGTTGCTTGGACATTTTTACAGAAAGAAGTGAAGCAGTAGTCATTTGAGTAGTTAACATGCGTATCACATTTGGCCCCACAATTTCACTCCTAGGATTCTTTCCCACAGAAATAAAAGTGCTGGAACATAAAACATGTTTGAATAAGGCAGTTTATTCCTACTCTGGAGATATTAGCCAATCCTGGAAATAATCTGAGTGTTCAATTGCAAAGGAGCGTTTGGTTAAATGACGGTGTGCTCATCCTGTGGAACAATATGCAGTTGTTTTAAAATTAGGTACATGCATAGATTTGAAAATATATATATAAAATATATACTGGTAAGAGCAAGTAGCAGAAATGAGTGTGTGTTCCTGTGTGTGTGTGTGTGTGTGTGTGTGTGTGTGTGTAAATAAGCATTGGAGAGATTTTGCAATGTTATACAACAAATTGTTTTTTTTTTTTTTTTTTTTTTTTTTTTTTTTTTTTTTGGTTTTTTTTTTTGGTTTTTGGTTTTTCTCCGGTACCGGGAACCGAACTCACGACCTTGCGCTTGCCAGGCAGGCGCTTTTGCCGCTGAGCTAAATCCCCAGCCCCAACAAATTGTTAACAGTAGTTATCACCAGAGGAAGAAAAGTGTGGGCCCTGATTCATTTTTACTTTATACCTCTCTGAATTTAAAAGTTTACAGAGAAGTATTTTAAGCGAAAATACCTCTTATAACTATAGCCCAGAGTGTTCTCAGTAACTGTGATGAAACTCAGTTTATTCATCATAGGGATGATATTGAAAAGCTATCCACATGTCAACAAGCATCTCCTATATGAAAACCCACTCTAACCTCCTTCTTCCAGTACCTGTTTGAGCAAGTTTGCCTTTATCTATTGGACATTGAACATCTAGTAACTGTTCATGTCTTCCTTTGCTCTAGATAGCAACTAGGGATTGCAGAGTCACATTAGAGACTCCCCTTTATTCTGAATCATCTCTGGTCATATGCTTAAATTCTGCACATGGCCCATATTGTTGACATCATTTTGTTGCTTGCCTTCTTCTTTTCCTCATACAAGTTCCTTTCTTTATTTTAGCTGATTATATTGTATGTATCCCTATAACCACCTCTGATCTTTTTTGGGATTTCAAGTAGGAATATAAATAAATATTGAGTAGTGATTTCTATTTTTGCAGGAACCTGGGAAAGAAAAGAGTTTCAGAAATGATGAATAGGCCACCCATCACTACCAACTACAGATGACTTACCATTCTGTTTACAAAGGTAAGGAAACATAGTCTACGTTTTTAGTTAATTCTGACTGGCACAGTATAGAGCCCTTACCCTGAATTTTTTTGTGTTTTGTTTTGTTTTTGGTTCTTTTCCAGTACCAGGAATTGAACTCACGACCTTGCACTTGCAAGGCAGGCGCTGTGCCGCTGAGCTAAATCCCCAGCCCCTCCTGATTTTTATACGTTTATTTACAAATATTTTAAAACATGTATCTAGTTCATGGCCTTTAACTTTAACATTATTAAATTTAAAACAAACACTGACCAAACAGGGACCAGAAATTTTACAAATGTTTGCATATCTAAAGAGAAAAAACACCAAGATACGTGGCCTCTGCCATTAATTACAATGTGTTTTTAAATTTTTAATATTTTCCATATATCTACATGTAGCACTGTGCCCTAAAGCATATTTGAAGAATAAAACAAAATCTAAAAGTGAAAACCTAAAGAATGTATAATCCAGTCATCTGTAGATAATCACTGGAATGTCTTTCCCCCTTCTTTTATGTGTACATAGAAGTATATATGATTATAATGTTTTTAAAAATGATGTGTTTATTCTATACCTGTCTTGGCTTCTTTAGTTGCAAATGCTACACCTTAATTGACGTGCAAACATAAAGTGTGCAGAAACAAATAGTAGTCACTGCTGTAACCATTGTAACAGTCCTTGCTAGTTTACCAGCATGTCCCTAAGCAACTCACTCTCCTCTCCTGCCCACATGTCTCTGATTAATAGATCCATGAGCCTTTTGTCAGATATCACTGAACAGAAGAAAAAACAAAAAGTGAAGAAAGCTTTGAATCTGATAGTTCATGGCCCTCCTTTATCATTATTATCTGTTTTGTACACCTTAAAAGGAACAGATTTTTAAAAATAGAAGTTCACACATTTCTCTCCTCTCTATCAAGTCAGGGTGATTTAAAATACTTGAAGATCATCACATTATCTGTCCTTCACTCATGGCATTAAGGCAGTTTCTCACTGAGGTGGTTTTTCAAGCACCCTTCAGAGCTACTCTTGAAGTGCTTCCATTTGAGAAGCTGTAAAGCTGAGAAGGGAAATGACTGATGTGGCTTTCTTCGTCGAGATCAGCTGTTGCACAGCTGAAGGTTTGTTTTTGACCCTAAGCCTGACATTATAAAGCCTCTCAGGCATTTAACTTTTCCTAGTATTTTATTCAGATCTCACCCAAATATTGTTCTTAGGAAACTAGAAAAATCACTTTTTCTTTAAACAAATAAAGCAGAGGAATAGGAAGCAGTTATTTGTGTAACGTTTGTCCTTGAAGATTCCCTATTCTAATATGGACAGATTGAATGGATGCAAATTGACTTGAAAAGTTAAGAAGGTAAGAGGGTGGTTTGGTTCCTGCATAGTAGTAAACCTGGTAAGGTGGCTTTTATTTTTGCATGGCTTTGGTCACGTCATGCTCCTGGCAGTCAGGGTAAACTCAGTCATTTAGTTCCAGTGCAGAGAAATGGCTGCTGATTTTTTTGGTATAACAAGCACTGTTTATTAAAAGCCCAGGATTTAGAGCATACTTCAAAGGCTTATAAGAAAATCAGAAGTTTTATCTCTCCTTGGTGTATTAAATCTTCTTCATGCAATTTAAGATAAGACCCTAAATATTGTGGTCCTCTGATTATTCAGTTACCCTTGTTAATCACAGAAATAACTGTCATTAAAAATACTATGAAGTAAATATGAAAAAGAGAGAAACACATGTTTAAACGTGTGATACCCCTCTGGGAAAAAAGTATTTTATTCAAAAATATTAAGAAAAATATGCAAAACTGCAAAATTATATCATCCTTGTAAAACAAGGGAAAAGGCAGTCGGAACATGGGCAAATATTAATAAGGTGCTTGGTAGTAGGTTGTAACCTTAAAACATAAAAATCAGTAGGAATTCACTAATATTAATAACCATAATAAGTAAAAAAAAATCAGTAACTTACAATACCAAAACTTCAATATATAGATGGGAAAAAATAGAAAACTCAAAAGGAGAAATGTAAAGAGCTAAAAATAATATTAAAAATAATGTTAATCTTCTCTACCTTCTTCTCTCTTTTTATTATCAAATGGGGAAACGCTTATTACATCAATGTCTGGTAAAATTAGTAAAATGATACTGTATTATTTAAAATAAAAATGCATAGAACAAAACGTAGAAACAAATATACTAGAATCTGAATACTAGAATTCCTTAAGGGAAGTAGAGTTAAGAGTAATTTTTTGTGCTGATACATGTATTTTGGTACTTTCCAGATATTTTTTACTTTAAGTATTTATAACCAGAAGAAGAATTTTAGATGGCTTTGTAGGAACAAATTTATATATGTGATAGAGGTTGGACTTTTATAGCATTTTTCTTAGAGCTAACAGTGTTAAGTATACTACTAAAATGATTTAGAAGCAAAGATTTATTTTAGAAAGATTGAGGAACACAGATTTTTTTTTTTAGTATTCTGACGATCTCTTTCTTCCTTTCTTAGAAACAGCAGTACCAACAAAAACATTGTTAAAATGTGTTGTTTATTTAAGAATATCAATATGTTGTATTTCAGAGTAGAGTTTAAATTCAATATTTTCCCCTTATAGATGTCGTCAGCTGCTGAAAATGAAGACGCAGCACCTGGAAAACAAAGCGAAGAAAAAACCTATAAAAAGGTGAGTGTCTTATTTTCTTGCCTCAACTGAACAAGAAGAATACTGTTCTATTAGTTGGCATGTTGATACTATTAGAGGCTTTTCTTCCTCCAAAGCAGTTGTAAGTTGATGTCTTAGTTTTCTGTTGCTGCTGTACCTAATTGCCACAAACTTCTTGGCTTGAATAACACAAATGTTTTGCCTTATAGTTCTGTAGGTAAAGCCGATAGGGCTGTGACTATTGTCTGCAGAGCTGCATTACTTGCTGGAAGACCCAGAGGAACATCTGTTTCTTTCTTGTTCCCAGCTTCTAGGGGCTGCCTGCATTCTCCATGTCAGGACCTTCTTCTATTTCAAAATCAGCAATGATGGATGGGGTCTTTCTTGGGTTGTATCACCCTGATACTCTCAAGAACCCATGTAGCCGAGCATGGTGGCACATGCCTGCAATCCAAGCACTCTGTAAGACTGAGGCAGGAGGATTGCAAGTTTGAACCCAGCCTGGGCAACTTAGCACCTTTGGGAGACCCTGTCTCAAAACGAAAAATTAAGAAAAATGGGGAGAAGGATGTAGCTATGAGAATGCCTTGGGTTCAATCTCCCCTGTTTCAAGCGAACAAATGAATTCATCTGATTAGCAAGCTTAATTTCCCATCCAACCTTAACTCCTCATTTCCATATAATATAACCTATTCACAGGCCCAGTGACTAGAAGATACGTATGTTGGGGAGCTAATCTTTCGCCCATCATATTTATCATGATGTACACTGTAAAAGTTTTCCTTGATAGAAGGGTAGTTATTTAAAGACCCTTCTTATTCCTAAGGATAAGGCTTTTAAGGGCATGCAGTGTTCTGTTTGATATGTGAATTTTTTTACTTGACTAACTACTTTTCATCAAAATTTTAAGCATTTTCTACTTTGAATTTTACACAAATTTTAAATGTGGATTGCTCCATCCATCCCCATTTTCTAAATGTCTCAGATTTCATGTCTAAAAGCTGATAGTTTAGCCTTTAGATGGCTAAACTGCCCGCCTGTCATTACTTCAGGTCACATCCAGGCAGCCTTCTCACCAGCATCAAAGTACTCAGAGATTCCTGACTGAATGCTGACCCATAGGAGGTCTTTCATGATTTTTTCACAAAAATCACTTTGTAGGCTTCCCAGTGTATCTTACCTGACCATTCCAAACTTTACAAAGTCTGAGCTCCTAGCAAGCCAGCTAGTGTTCAAAAAACATTACAAGAGTAAGGTATGTGTCTCAAGCACCACTGTTCTTGATTATAAATTGACTGTACACTGTAGCTTTTAAAACTTCTTGCCCTCCTGCCCTCTCAGTAGAGGTTTTTGTTGAAAGTTTATTATACTTTAATTTCTGTTTTTCCCTATTACTTTTTGTTGGATAGCTGGAAAGAAGTTTTGTAGTAAAGTATTTGAACCGTCTTATCTGAGCACATATTCAGGTCACAGAACTAATGTGATACATTTCCTGTTGAGCTCTTACATGGGAGAAAATGCCCTTTTTATTGGCATATCTTTTTCATCTGACTTTCCTACTCATCGAAACCTAGAAAAACAAACGGGGCATTGTCATGTAAAGTAATGGTTTGCTTAAGGAACAGCTGGGTGAAGATTCAAAAGCTCCAAAATGTCATATTATATCTTGCAAAATTTGTGCATCTCTCCAAAGGTGCCAATACACTATTGTTTATTTTTAGACAGAGGTGAAAAGCCAATCCTATCTTGTTTACTCAAGAGTGGAAATTCAGTCAAGCATGCGGCCAACAGAGAGGTAGATAAATTGTCAGCCTGTCATTATTTCAGGTCACATCCAGGCGGTCTTCTGATCAGCACCAAAGTACACTGAGATTCTGAATCCTGACCCATAGGCACTCTTTCATGATGGAGCCGTAGTAGAAAGAATGTGATCATGGCATCCTGGAGCTTTCTAACTGTGCCCTGCTCCAGAATTTAGTGAAGCAGGTTGTCAGTAATATTGTAGGTAAAATTCTACAATCAACATCTCTAACAGGATATTTGTCTCAACAGTGTTGGGAAGATTATAAATGCTACAAATCAGATTCTATGGTCACAGCTAATTCCCGTACACAAAAGACAAGGGAAAGTTAAAGGGAACCAAACATACACATATACGCAAAACAACAACAATTTATAAAAATAAGTAATAAGTATATGGATCTTTTTAATGACCTCTGATGTTGAATATAAGTGATGAAGGGGGAGGTACTTGGTCCCTCTAGGAAAAGCACCAGAAAATACAGAACATCTCCTAGAGCCTTAGCCCTTGGTAAATATGGTGTTGATACACACAGCAGGTAGAAGGGATCGCTTAGAGTGTTACTTTACTGACAGATCAAAATTCAGATGAATTACTCAATTTAATTTTTCTTCACTGAGAGGACCTATCTTCAAACTGGAGGAGGTGTTAGTGACAAAATTAGGAGAAGTGATGATACAAAGCACATCTGCTATTACAAATGAGATTATCTCTAGGCTGAGATGAACCATTTCCCAGATGAAAGAATTTGAATTGAGAAGGGGTAAATGGTTACATGTGAGCTTTGAACATGTTTGACAGTGGGAGAACTATAAGAGAGGAGCAAATCATATCCCTATTTTTAAAAATGAGGAAAAAGTACATTCTAGAAATCAGATGATAAGTGAGACACTATTCCACAGCAAAATCTGACCAGTCACTGCACATATGGTTTATACACATTTAGAGAAGAAACATCTTTTGTAAACATGGGAAAGTCCATCAAGATACAGTTTGTGTCATATTACCCACATTTCCAGTTATCAGAGTCTTACGTTAGTTACAGTAATAATAATGTTGAAATTTAATGAATCTTCACTTAAAAGCCTTGGGAATCTCTATAGTATCCTTTGAGACAAGGTAGAGAAGAATGGACTAAACAGTATGGTGTGTTTGCAGCTGGTTCACTTGTCTCAAAGAATGGCCGTTTTGATCCCTGTACATGCAGTTCCTACCAGCACAAAGCCTGAAATGCCCTGTGTAGCACATTTTTTCTCATGACCATAATGAAGGCATAAAAGCTGTGCTTTGCACATGACAGAGAAACTAGAAGTGATAGCTCACAGCTTAGATGAGTGTCAGCAAGGCTACCATGTACTTCATTAACTAGGTCCTTTTACAAATACTATACAGTTAAACTTATTTCTAGTCCTGAATCTCTGACCTTCAAAAATGTACTTGTTCAATAAGAGTCTCTGATAACTGAAGCCACCCACAGGTGCCAGGTTAAGGACCCCCTGACCTACTGCACCAAGAACAAGAATGATACCGAAGGAATGCATAAGGAACTTATGAGTGGTTGGGGGAAGCAAGGCATGGAAACAACTGTAGAACACAGTAGTCTGTAATGAGGTGATCAAAAGAGGCAAAACCAGCATGACTTAGGCGGGCTTAGGAATTCTGCATATAGCCCCAGAGTTTTGGGCTGCTGCCAGCAACACTCAGCATCATGCGTATTATTATTTCCATGTGTTTTTAGGGAACACTCAGTGCTCTTGGAACAATTCTATACGCTCTGTGTCTTAATGAGTCATACACGACTGTTTAGGCTGGCTGGCTTTTTGTTCTTTCACTTGACCATTTCCCTAACCCATTATCAGTTCTTGGCAAACTCAGGAAGAAGATCTAAATTCAGTCTATGAGGTTAATGTCTTCAGCTAAGGATTAAAATAAGTTTGAGCTTAGGTCTCTAAAAGAAACATATTGCCCATTAAGAGAGTCATTAATGGCTGCCTGGCTGTGTTTACTGAGTCTAGTATTTCCATTTTTAGTTTTTACTGCATGTCTTCCTCAGAGTTGTAAATGCAAAAGCCTAGAGTGGCCAGGCAGCTAACAAGGAGCAAATAACCATCCAGGGAATACACGCCTTCCTTCCCAGACCAGGTGGCATTCAGCTGCAGCTAGCAACCTATGCATGAATGCTTGTCCAGCTCTGCAACATACTCTGACTTTTCAAGAAACTAGAAATAAGGATTTTGATGTGAAACCTTACCATTTTCCAACCAAAAACTGATTCAAAAGTTTGGGTTTTTTTTTTTTTAGATACCCACTGGGCAAAACAGCATGCATACTGAACATATCTGACCCACAAACTGTGGCCACTTTGCAACCTATGACCACTATTGGTTTGAAAAGAGAGGCAGGAAAGAAAAGGATGCAAAAGAAATGCCTGTAAGAATTCATTTCTGTTTCCCATGACCTTACAATTTATTTTGCAGGAAAAAATATGTTCCCATGTGAAAAAAATGAAATAATGACCCAAATCAGTATTGAGTAAGTGCCAAGATTAGAGGCATTTCATTTAATCATCTCACAAGTCCTGATGAGTTTAAAGCCCATTACTGTCTTCTGGCTTGTTAGCTAACAGAGCATTTTGCTGGGATAAAAACTTCATAATGTCTCATTGTTTTTGTCATGACATAAAATCCCACTCCTTTAATGACTGTGCATTCTGATTTATTTACTTATTTGTCTCCATGACAGGGAATCTCATGAATGTAGGCACAGAATCAGGGGTGAGCATGCTTTGTTGGACAGACAGGGAAGTCTGGCCTGATTGAAGACAGGTGTTATTGTTTAGGGAAAGTAGCAGGCAATTTTGGAAGTATGAGCTGACTCTCAGTGACAGCCAGTCGTGGCTGCTTGTTTGAGTGGTTTGAATTTTATCTTCTAAGCCAGTGTTTTCCAATCGAACTTTCTATAATGATGGAAATGTTCTGTAATCTGCACTAATGCAGCAGCTGCAGGCTACATGTGGCTGCTGTGTGTTTTAAATGCATCCAGTGTGGTTTAGGAAACAAATGTTGAATCTTTGTTTTGGTAAACCTTAAGCTTAAAGGAGCGCCTGTGGCTGATAGGCAGTACAGCTATAAGGCAGAAAAGAACCCTGACATTGTTATTGAGGGCGGTGACATGATGACTGCAAATCCAGGAGCAGGGTGCAAGCTGCATGATGTCAAAG